CATTCCATGAACGAATATTGAGGGTTTTGCTTGGTTCTATGGCACCCTGAGCTGTTGTGTTTTAGATTTCAGGAGCACGGACGAGCATTATCATTTCTTCCTAATTTAAATGCAGCTTAATTTTAACATTAAAAGAAACCCCTTTTTTATATTTCTATTCTTGGAAAAAATCATCCAGTCATTTTTGCTTTTTAGGCTTCTAGTCCTGTTTTGGTTTTGAGTTTCAAACAAGAACAAGTTGTATGTAGCAGACAAATCTTTCTTTTCTGGGGGGGGGGGTTGCTCAACTAATTTTTTTTCTTTTTGGCAATAAGAAACTTGAAAAAAATCTGTTTTCACCACTTTTTCATTTTTTCCTATAGTTCAGAAGAGCTTATTTTTTTCTTCTTTCAAGGAAGGATGGTCCTGCTGGAAACAGATCATTTCAGCCTTTATTTGTGGAGACAAAACGTAATGGAGATGGGGTTTTTTTTCTAGAGTCGGGGCTGTCTGCATGTTCTGCAGACTCTTGGTCAGTATGAGATATTCCTGCACACCACCTACTTGTTCAGTGGGTTTCTGTCTGCTGCCTGTTTATCTGGGCAGCAGCAGCACCACAGGAAGAAAGGAATGTTTAAATGTGGAAATGACTTCTTCTTTTTATGCGTCAGAGGCTGTGAACTTGGAAGTCATTTGGGAGTTTTGATCTCCAGTTTGCTTGAAAATACCCACTCCTCCCTCTCTCTGTCTCTCAATTACTGAACTATTTACAGGAGGATCACCCACTCAAACTCCATGCTGTGATCACTTTCTTGCTGTGTAACATTGCAAATCATTCATTTTATAAATAGGATCTTTCATTTGTAAGAAACATTTTTATTTCAAAATTATTACTGTTGTTATTCCTGATACCCTGGGAGATAGACATACTGACATTTAAATGAATCACAGTTCAAAGCACTTGAGACCAATAGAATAAAGTTACTTTCTTATAAGTATAAAATAGTATCGATTCATCTTTCTGACTACCCAGGCCACTGTTACCAGTAATCACTGAAGTTCCTGCTTTGCCCTTTGCAACAGATATTCAGTGTCAGATGTGTAATTGAATATTTGGTTTTATTTAGTGTTGTAAAATTACATAATAGTGTATACTTCATATCACCAAGCCCAGATAACCTCAAATTAATAACTGTAATAGTGGTATTTAATGGCAGGTACTTAGGGCACAAGAAAAGGGCAAAAGTGGTTTTCATGTATTTCTTGGATTTGAAGATTTGTATTCATGAAGTTTCTGTTGTTTATTGGCAGAGTTTTTTTACTACTGCAGTTAGTATTGCTTCTGAATTCATGCTGTATGTCTTGAAAAATGAAATCCACTACCTTTTTATATACATTAAAAAGATTTATGTAACAGAGTTGAATCGGTATCTGAGCAGATGGGCCCAACGTAGGGTCATTGTGTGATTCAGCTGGTAGAGCTATTTCTGAAGTGTGAAATATTCGTTCTGTTCAGATGGCTGGGAAAAACAGCCTCCCCCAAAGAAGTGTCTCATGCAGCACTGTCCAACAGAAGTGTAATACGAGCCACAAATATATTCAAAGTTTTCTAGTAGCCTTATTTAAAAAGTAAAAATAAGCAGGTGTAATTAATTTTAGTACTCTGTTTAACCCAGTATATCCAAAATACTGCCATTTCAACATGTAATCAAAATAAAATTATTATTGAGATACTTTTTTTTTTTTTTTTCTTTTTTGGGACAGAGTCTTACTCTGTTGCCCAGGCTAGAGTGCCGTGGCGTCAGCCTAGCTCACAGCAACCTCAAACTCCTGGGCTCAAGTGATCCTTCTTCATCAGCCTCCCCAGTAGCTGGGACTATAGGCATGAGCCACCATGCCCGGGTAATTTTTTCTCTATATATTTTAGTTGGCCCATTAATTTCTTTCTATTTTTAGTAGAGACGGGGTCTCGCTCTTGCTCAGGCTGGTTTTGAACTCCTGACCTTGAGTGATCCTCCTGTGTTGGCCTCCCAGAGTGCTAGGATTACAGGTGTGAGCCACCACACCCAATGGAAATACTTTTTTTGTGTGTGCTAAGTCTTTGAAAGCCAGCGTGCTTCTACTAACAGCACCTCTCCCTTCAGACCAGTTTCAAATGCTCAGTAGCCACGTGTGGGCAGTGGTTGCTGCATTTGACAGCGCAGGTCCATTCATGGTTTGATGGCAGCTTCAGATAGGAGGAAGAAAGGGATCATCTGACATGCCTCTTCATCTCCCCAAGACTACATAAATGTCAGTTCTTGAAAAGGAAAATGTTGACAGGTCTTTCTGGGAAATATAACCTTATTTCTGATGTTTATTTGCACAAGTCAAATGCTGTTCCGTAGCAGAGTTTGACTTTATTTTCATGGAAAAAAGAAAAAAATAAAACCCCTGCAAACACTGATCTGATGCTACTCATTTTCTAAGGAAAATTAAAAATCCACATCAGAGAGCCTTAATGTAAAAGATTCCTTTTTTCACTCATATATCTGGTTCTGCTGTTGCCATAGCCACATGGATGGGATACAGTAGAAATTAAAGACTCCAGTTACACACCATGCTTTCTTTAGTTATTACTTTTCAACTAAAGGCTGTTTTTATCGTGTTGGGCTTTTCCCCTTGAAAATGTGGAAGTTTTGCTTAGTGAATGTTTATGTTTCAATTTGGTAGGGTCAGTGGAAAACTTAATGCCATTTCAAATGCTTTGCAGCCCTTACAGCAAGTATAAACCATAATTACCAAAAACAATTAGTGTGAACTCAAAGCCAGAACGTGTCACAGGGTCTTTATCTGATCTGATTTGCCTCCCTGGCTTCTGTGGAATATGAACTATTTTATGTCATTCCATTTTCAGAGTCAAAGAGCTGTTACTGTTAATCTAAGTGAGGTGATAACATTCCCTGTCTTCCTGGCCAATTACGAAGGCTGTTGTTGTCAACCAGATGGCTTTCATTTCAAAGAAACTGTGACCTTTGAGTTTATTACTTTTGATTGGAGAGGGAAGTTTGGCTAGATTACCAAACTTTACCCTCAAGGGATTAGTAATAGAGGCATGGTGCTTGGAATTAACTTGAAATGTATCTACAAACTCACAAATCTATCATCCATATGATGTCAGGCATTCATAAAGTCTTGGCATATTTTTGAAGTTTAATAGCTTGAATTTTTTGCATGATAGAAACTGACAAAGATTCTCTCCTTGGCTAAGCTTTACTTAGGCTCCTTCTGGGCCACCTTCTCAACCTCCAGGTCTATCCTTACCTGATCTGCTTTTGGCAAGAATCCTGCTCAATCAGTTTAATGAGACTCCTCCTATCCTTGGTATCTGATGCCTTTGATATCTGATCAGGTTCCTCATTTCCCCACCCTTAGTGTTTGGTTCTTGGCCTGCCCTCAGCAAGAATCCTGTTAGGTCAGTTTAGCAAGAATCCCCTAACTTTGATGCCACCTCTTAGTAATTTTCCATCCCCTGATCCCCTCACTCTGCTTGTGGGCTGCAGTCCCCACTTGTTCTTTGTATTTAGAGTTGAGCCCTGAACTCTTCCCTCTATCACAATAGTGCTGAATAAAGTCTTCCTTACCATTTTAACAAGTGTCAGAATAACTTTTTTCTTTAACAAGATAATAAGTTACATAGAACGCCCATATATTAAAACTTTAGGACAATGTTATTGTAGAATAATACACAGTAAGTTCTAATTTCATTCAACCCAGAAGAAACTAAAAAAGAAGAAACTAAAAAACACTGCATTAGATCTAAGGCTAAAGTAAACCCTATGGTTAGAACTGAAGTTTATACTTACTTAGAAAGTTCATTGTTTATTTTAATACTATTGTATACACGTTTTATTATGGTTACAACCAAAGTATAAAATCTGGCCTTAAACTTTATAAAATACTAAGTTTCTCATTTCTACAAGAGTAAGATGTCCTTATTTTACATCATGACGTTTGGCTCAAAATATGTGGGCATGTCTCTCCCATTGATGGTGTATACTGAGTTGCAAAGTTTATTAGACTTAGGCTTAATGTATTTTAATCCACTTGCAGGAAGTCAATGGAAGTTTGCATAGAAAATAGGTCTCTCTATGGCAGAAATAAACATACTGCAGTGAATATAAGACAGAATTACATTGTAACCTTATTGAGCCACTGTTACTGCAGAGAGGGCCTCCTTGTGTGAATGTTGGCCCCCATCCAGAGGCTTATTTCATTAGAAAGCCCAGGCCCTTGTAAATTTTCATGAGTATTACAGCAGCATTACAATAATATAATCCCATATAGATCTGGGTGCATAGACTTGTGTGTCAGCCTGTTTTCTTTCCAGATGTCTATCCTCAATGATGTTATTTTACAAGTTATATAAAAGAGAGAGGTTAAGAGTACAGAATAAAATGTAATTTCAGTATTTCATTTTTCTGGAGATAATTATGGGAATCCTCAGACAGTTCCTTTCCAGGACTACATGAGCTCTTTCTGGACACTGGGCTGCAGTGCCCGTTTGCACCAGATACGGGTGGCTCATGCCAGCAGCATGGTCGTTGACTCCCCATTCAGAGCTGAGCCTTCAGTGCCGTATAGTGAAGCCACTTTCAATCTCTGTGTTAAAACTATATAATATGTTGGCCGGGCTTGGTGGCTCACACCTGTTATCCTAGCACTCTGGGAGGCCAAGGTGGTTGGATCGCTCAAGGTCAGGAGTTTGAAACCAGCCTGAGCTAGAGAGAGACCCCCCATCTCTACTAAAAAATAGAAAGAAATTAATTGGACAACTAAAAATATATAGGAAAAAAAACTGTAATATGTCTGTTTGCCTTTAGAATAGCGTATTTTATGATTTAAGAAAATTAGCTTTTTCCAAAAGAAGCTCTTCAGAAGCAATTCAATATAAGTTCTAGGTTCAGGCCTTTGCTAAAAGGTATCCTCTACTGAGTGTCCATTGGGTGCATATTTCAAAAAGGCAGAGGCCAGAATGAAAATGTTTTAGTGACGTATTTTATTTCTTTGTGAGAGAATGAGGGGCAGAGTTGCTACATTTCCATTAGTAAAGTGGCAACCTTAAGACTAGGGGTAGTGTGGAAACCAGTGTGCACAAATGCATTTACAGGACTGTGATCCTTTATTCTGCTTCTGCCTCATTAAGGGGAGAGAGAGAGAGAGAGAGAGAGAGAGAGAGAGAATGAGACCATTCTCTCCCTCACAGCAGGAGGGAGAGATGGATGGAGTGGGGAGGGTGGGACTTTTTCCTCCTGCCAGTTCTATTGGATAATGATAAAGACTTAACTATGGAATAGGGTCAACCTCTGGGCTTCCATGTAGATAAAATAGGTGAGAGAAAAGATCTAAAGGCCTCATCTGGGTGCATAATGAATTATAACGGTTATGGGCAGACTACTGAGATAGATACACTCCCTTGCTAGCCATTGGTTTCTTTAAATCTTGCTTTGTTTGCATTGGCCTTTACGTTTTACATTTGACTGCTCCTATTACAAGGAACTCTTTGTTTTTTTTTTTTACAATGGAAGTGTGGTTGACACCTCTATTCAGGTGAAGCTATGTACAGGTCATGTAGACTTGTTGGAGATATCACTGCCACCTGGGAACAGATCACTACACAAAATGCCCTGGGGACATAGCACCCTTTTGATTCTTCCCGCTTGTGAACCTAAACATATGCAGTGATGGCAGGTGTCACACTTTGTCAAGACCGTCTTCTTGACTCCTTCCCTGTAGGGTAAATACAGCGAGGAGAGAGCAGTAAGAAGAAAGCTAGTTAGGCAGTCTGGGGGCGGGTGGGGGAGACACAGGGCATATAACTGGAAGAAGATTAATGTCACACTACAATTGTATCCCATCTCATGGTAGTTCAGAATGCCTTTATTCTTTATTAAGTTCTCTGGGCTCTTTGTTTTTTCTTTCATTCTCTTTTTGTTCTTCTTATTTTCATCCTTCCATTTTACTCATTTCCACTCATTTTTAACAGTTTCTGTCACTTTCCTCCCTGGCGTTTTAGCGTCACACGTCGAAATCCACCACCGTCACCAAGCACCGTGCGTGGCCAGACAGCCTGTGACACATCTAACACAGGCTGCCAGAAGGCACCACAGAAAGCAAACAGGATCAGTAAGCTTGGATTCATCACTTCTACCCCGCAGTGCCCAATCCTAGACTCTCGCACGGTACATCCTTTCCATCTGCCTATTTGGCAAAAACAACAGAAAAATGAGCGCTCTTGTCTAAAGGAATTGAAGCATTTTATCCAGTGAAATATTAGAATTTAGAAAACATTGTGCTACAGAATCATCAAAGCAGGTTGTATGTTATATTTAATTTAAAAATTGTGCTGGGCAGAAACTCACAGCAGTCCACGTAAAACAGCTGAGACGCAGACGGTCAGGTATAAGCTTGAGCGCCGGGCCCGCGGTCCTCTCTTTGGCCGCGTCCCAAATGAGTGTTTTTCTTTTCCCTGTAGGAGAGTTTGTTTGCTCGTGGCTTGCAGTGTTGACTGTCCCGCCTCTTGGTTGGGTGAATGTTTGAGAAGCTTTTCTTGGTACCAGACCAGTCTGTTACAGAGACTTTCCTTAGGAATGGTCAGGTGTGCTTGACATAAATGTTCCAAGAAAGACGGCGGAAAGGCTTGAGCCTCTTGAAAATATTGATGCCCGAATAAAACCCTTTGGTGAGAGAATAGAGCCAGAGACACGAGTCATCTCCAAGACTTTTACATCTCCCTTATAAGACAGTCATGACTTATTCTCACTTCAGAGATTGACAGTTTCTAAACTGAAGCATCCCTTCCTCTCACGCTGGGTCATATTTCTTTCTTATACCCCGAGTCACTGACACTAAATCAGATTATTGGGAGTACAAGCATTGTGAGGAAGAAAAGTCTTGCATGAAGCTATTTGAGGATCAGAAAACATTAAACTTAGACCTGGCCAGGCGCAGTGGCTCATACCTGTGTAATCTTAGCACTCTGGGAGGCCAAGGTGGTTGGATCGCTCAAGGTCAGGAGTTTGAAACCAGCCTGAGCGAGAGCAAGACCCCATCTCTACTAAAAACAGAAAGAAATTAATTGGCCAACTTAAAAAAAATATATACACACACACACACACACACCACACATACATATATACATATATATAAAATTAGCCGGGCATGGTGGTGCATGCCTGTAGTCCCAGTTATTTGGGAGGCTGAGGCAGGAGGATCTTCTGAGCATAGAAATTTGAGGTTGCTGTGAACTAGGCTGATGCCACGGCACTCTAGCCTGGGCAATAGAGTGAGACTCTGTCTCAAAAAATAAAAAATAAAAAAATAAAAGAAATTAACTTAGACCTGTTTGAAGTAGCTTCTCTCTCTGAGCTTCTAAATCAGTCCGCTTTGATTTTGTATATGAGGAAACTGAGGCCCGCAGAGGCTACTTGCTCAGATGTGCAGATCCAGAAGTAGACTGTCCTCGCCTAAGACAATGACCTCTGACCTCTTTCCTCCTACCTCTTTAGGATCAACAAAGTAAAGTAAAATATGTTGAGGTTTGGAAAAGAAAGGAATTTAGCATAATGTGCTTTCCATATGACAATACCAACCGGGTGTTTTATAGGTCAGAGATAGTTTTCCATCAGCTTATCTTTAGTGATTTGTCAAACTTATTATTCTAAACCCATCTGGAAACCAGGATTGGGCAACCTAGTAAATCGGGAAGGGCAAACAGAAAAATAGGGCTGGAACTCAGAACTGGCCATTTCCAACAATAACCTGTCCATCGTCCACTGTCTACCATTGGCCTTGACTGGCTCACTGGCCAGAGCCCTTGATTGTTACTGTAAGAGGGGCTAGACTCAACCAGGCAAAAGTCCCAACCCTTTCTGACTTGTATTTAATAGTATTTGGCTCTGAAGTCTGCAGTGACTCTGTGCTCCTGGACACTTATGGTCATTGTGTCTTTCCACCTCATGGCCCCGTCTTTGTATGTACACTGTGTGCTCCTTTTTCTGTTTGGAGCCTGGCTGAGGTTATTATTGCATAAATAAAGAATACTCCTTGGCAAGGGCTAATGAGTAGTTTGCCATCCATGAGAACCGATGACTTAGGCACAAGAACCAGTGACTTAGGCACAAGAACCAGAGAACTAGCACATAGCCAGGGATGTGTAGAAATGATGGGAGTCCCAAATCATTCCAGACCTCAAGATCTTTTATGATTTTATAATGATCGATGGGTGAAAGTAAATGGTGAAGTAGCTAAGACTCCAGTGATGAGAGTGACTATCAGTGAGCAATTTCAGGGCAGTGGCGTGTTCTTGTTCTACAAAATACAGACAGACCTGTTTACACATGCACATTTCACCAACATACATACAGATGAGCTTCAGCCCAGGCACCACTTAACTAGTGGATTTATGGGGGCATGTCCCTGTTATTACAGCACTATGGACACTAACTTTTAAGTCCTTGTATGCAATACAACCCAAGAGAGACTTGTAGTCTCTCTTGAAGACATTAGCCTGGAGGTCCTGCTCTATAGCCCAGTGGGTATCATTAAGTAGAGGATATTGAAAGTGAAACAAAATGTTCCCTTACTTTTCTAGAAAGCCATAGACCTAGAACATTGTACACAGTTTGCTTCTAGAATTACAGAATTTCCAGAGAGGGCCAAGTGACATGTCTAAAAGGACAGAGATGTGATGCTGGTGTTTAAGACCAGCTTCAAAGCTTAGGCCTTTTCAGACTAGAAGGGCTAAAGCTCTGTTAGATGTTCCAGTTGTGTTTTTAAGTACAGGTAGAGTAAAAAGGCCTTGTTTATGGCATTCTGGAATTAGGACCGCCTCCCCCCCCCCCATCCCCTGGTAAAATTTGAAGGAGGTAGTTTTATTTAGAGAGCAGGGAGGGAGGCAGAGAGAACTGGATTGGTGACTATTAGTGAATTCAGTGCCCCCAGGAGGCATTGTTGAAAGTTTATACTGTTCATATACATTCTTGGATGGATAGATTCAAGTTGTATCCTTGAGTCTGAGTCAAGGAATGCCATAAGATACATCTTGGTTTAGGAAATAGATTGTTGAGCTACCAAAAAAAAAAAACCAACCAAAAAACAATCTAATTTAATCTATCCACTTTGGGGTCCATTCAGTTGCATTTTTAGATACCTGGTTTTTGCTAGAAGCTGAGCTGGCACTTTGATCACACACACTCACCAGTCTCCTGCCCTCACGTCATTTCTGATCTAGTGAGGGAGACAAACATTAATAACTAACTTTATAAAGCTATCTAGGAATGAAATAAATGTCAGAATGTCACGCAGGGGAGAACAGTTGTCTATGAAAACAATACTGAAAAAGGCATGGTGGATTCTGGTGTGAGAGATGAAACGCTGTCTCGAGGACCTCGGCATCCAAACTTGGTCCTGAAGGATGAGTAGAACTGGGATAAGGCGGAAAACAGGAGGGAGGAGAGTCTGGCCTGTGGCGCCTTGCAAGCCAGGGAGAGAAGTGCAGGTGGGATGCTCCGGCTGGCGAGTGCCCAGGGAGGCTGGAACACAGGGTGCAGAGACCCACAGTGGGAGGGGAGGCTGGAAGAACACGGCCCAGGTCATCATGGGTAGGAGTTTAGATTTATGTTGTAGGAGTGAGAGTCCTTAATGGGTTTCGAAGATGGAAGAAGCATGATCTTGTGCATGTTTCTAGCAGGCGACGCTGTAGCAGTGAGGAGAAGCAATGGAGAGTGGAGAGACAGAATTGGAGTTCGTGGCTGTGGCAGAGATCCAGATTAGGGGCCACGTCCCAGTGAAGCCCCAGGGACACTGGCCAGGGGCCCACAGGAGGGTGCAGGCATTGATGATCATCCTGCTGCCTGCCCGTCGGTACAGCTCCTCTTCACATCTGGGGTTCCCAGAATGACACCCAACTTTGCCATCACCTTCACACCACAATGCGGAGGACACTGTTACATGTTTTGTTTTTCTCCTTCTTTCTTTTTATCACTCTTCTGAATTTAAATTCTTTCCCCAAAACTTAGCCACCTAAACTTAACATTTCCCTAGGGAATTCAGGTGACAATTCACATTACTAATCTGCATAGTATTTTTTGACAAAATTCATAGTCTGTGAGTATCTATGGGCCTATTTTTAACATACCCTGTATCATCCTAAAACTTTTACATGCACTGAAAAATGGGTTATGCTAAGAAGGACCTATTCAACCACATATTAACATGACCAGGATGGTTATACTGAATAAAGATGAAATATAGCACTCTTCTTGTTCTGTTGCTGTGGGTAGCATTCATTTCGTGCTGCCTTGTGTTCACATTGGTTCATTGCATGTGTTTCTAGACAGACTGTCAATTACTTGAGTTCAAGGATTGTACTTTATTCATTTTATTTTTGAGACAGAGTCTCACTCTTGCCCTAGCCGTGCGGTCGCGTCAGCCTAGCTCACAACAACCTCAAACTCCTGGGCTCAAGCGATCCTCCTGCTTCAGCCTCCCAAGTAGCTGGCTCTACAGGCATGAGCCACCATGCCCAGCTGATTTTTTCTATATACTTTTAGTTGGCCAATTAATTTCTTTCTATTTTTAGTAAAGATGGGGTCTCACTCTTGCTCAAGCTGGTTTCAAACTCTTGACCTTGAGCGATCCTCCCGCCCTTGGCCTCCCAGAGTGCTAAAATTACAGGCGTGAGCCACCGCGCCCGGCCTGTTCATCTTTCGATTGTCCCCCAATGTTAAAGAAAAAATTATTCTGACACTTACTAAAATGGTAAGGAAGACACTATTGCCATCAGTGTCAAGATTATCCCCACGGGGGAGAAAAACAGGGCTCAACTCTGAACACCAAGACAAGTGGGGATCTATAGGCAATGGTCAGTGGGTGGAAAATCACTAAGAGGAGATATCAAGGGTCAAGGACTCTAGATAAACCAACCTAACAGGATTCTTGCTGAAGGCAGGCCAAGGGCTCAGGTATCAAAGGTGGAGACAAGGAACTTTACCAGACATCCAGGGTGACCAGATATCAGGGGTGGGGGGATTCTGGCTAAACTCACTGAGCAGGATTCTTGCTGCAGCTGGACTAGGCAGGCGGAAGACTGGCCCAAGGACAAGGAAAAGAGGCTCCAAAGAGGAGCCTGATTAAAGTTTGGTCAAGAAGAAGATCTTTGTCACCCACACGCCCTAGAACTGTTTGTTCAGTGTCTGTAGCGTTATGGGCTGGGGGTGTTCTGAATGCCCATGTGCAGTCTGTTTCCAGACTGGGAGGCCTCATTAGAGGCTGCGTGACAATAGTCAGGGGTCCCTCAGAGGAGGAGCTGGCTGTGCGTTAACATGGGCCGGGGAAAGCGGGTTTGGAGAGCATGGCCCCAATCAGAAACATTTGCCCCAAATTTGACTACGCTATTTACTTACATTTTGGTAAAAAGATGTAAGTTTGGGGTTTTGGTTTTAATTTGAAAAAACATTTTAACCCTTAGAGAAAAATCTGTTTTCCCTTGTTGGTTTCCAAACTTCCTGGGGCCCTTTCTAATTTTGTTTTGTTTTGTTTTGTTTTGTTTTAAGATAAATGCTCTTAACAGAAACAACTATCTTCAGGATCAAAGGATTAAAAGTGTCTCAGCAAGAATTTTATAGAGGGAAATAAATAGAGAGGGAAGAATGGACGATGATAGTACCATGAATTG